GGGGGGGGGTGACACCAAAATGACTGACAGTAATTTTGCTGTCACCCCTTCTGAAGAGTCGGGCACTCGGTCACTGAGAGCCCGACAATTGCATGAGAAAGAGAAGGGGACCCAGCAGCATACTTTATCCTGCCGGGTAAACGTCCCCTCCTCTCTTTGCAGGCATCCGTCTCCTAGATGGCCACCAGTAGGTAAGTGCGCATGATGACGTCCCAGCGGGGTGTCACCCGATAGCCGCTCTGGGTGACACCACATCACGGAACGCTCCTGCTTTACAAAACACACAGGGACCATGGTGAACAAAAGTAGCCACCCTCCAGGAACCAACCTCCAGAAGCCACCAATCCAGAGATGATTTGAGGATCTACAGCCGAGTGATACACAAATAAGATACAATTTTGTTAATAGTTAGGGTACTTGAATGCACTTTTAAGATTTAACTTCTGAGCAGTGGCGGAACTACCAGGGTCGCAGCTGTCGCATATGCGACCGGGCCCTGGCGTTCCGCCACTTGGGGGGGCCCAGGAAGGGGCCCCTGCAGTGGCATAACAAACTGGGCTCCGGCGGTGCGGCTGCCTCGGCCGCCAGACAGTGACAAGCGGGCGGGCCGGGCAGAGAAAACAACTAGCCAGAAATGCAGGCAAATACTGGGGCAGCACAGGGGCCTCAGCTGCGAGGACCCAGCAGCAGCCACCTGATACATAGACCCGCCTCAATGTTCCCGGCCGCTGTAACCCATGTAATTAAAATAGCCTTCTATCATACAGGGAACTACAAGTCCCAGCATGCACTCACTGTCCCTGTACAACTCTCACATATCACGCAGGGAACTACTGCAGGGGGCTTGCATGCTGGGACATATAGTTCCCTGGGTGATGTGGAGAGGTGTACAGGGGCAATGAAGGCATGCTGGTTGTAGTTGAACTGCAAGTCCCAGCATGCCTTCATTCTTATACCCCAGGGTATAAGAATGACTGGTGTTCTGCTACTTGTGGGGGGGGGAAGAGAGCCGAGCCCAGTAACCGCCGAGGCACCGACATTGCCCAAGCAGGCCAATGCTCTGCATTGGGGGCCTTCATGGTTTCTCGCACCCGGGCCCTGAGGTTTCTAGTAGCGCCTCTGAGTTGTCTATCATGGAGGGGGGATTAAAGGATAACTTTACAAAAGTAAATCTATCCTCTAAGAGCAAAAAACTTCCGATTGGTCCATAAGGAAGAATCAAGTAATAACCTTGGCATGGCTTGATATATTTGATGGACTGTTTCCATTAGCTATAGTAGATGCAGGAAGTTCACGGGATGTATGATAGCGAAACGTAATCAACTATATACAGTAGCTCTTTTAGGTTTGAAAGATTTACTGTATAGTTTTGAGACATACATCCTGTTGAGTACTTAGGTTTGTTTTTCAAGGCAATGCAAGGATTATTGGTGATTATTAAAATTCCATAATTCCTAACATTCAGCCAGGGTTTAGTTTACTGTGCTTAGATCAACCAACTCCTCTTTTGGAAAACAAATCCTGTACCTCCTTTCTCCTCAGCCACTGTTTCAGTTCTGTTGTATAGACTTGTATAAATAATTGTGTAATAATAAACTATAAACAATGTATTCATTTGCAAAACATTCGATCTGTCATTACTGCACTGTTAATTGTCAAATGCTTGGATGCCAAAAGGATACAGTGTTTTCAAACACTAAGGATACAAAATGGTAAATAATCATCAAAGGGTTAAACAAAATATTAGTACACATTGATTATTCACAATCAGCTTGACCAAAGCCATATCCCTTTACTAAATAATTTGTTCTCAAAGGTGTCCCTCTTTCCCATATCATAAAGTTGGGAGGTCTGCTAACTGCTTACTTGAGATTACTTCACTTTACATTTCATTATTGATCTTTGTTGTGGCTTTTTAAAGAAGCTGGATTGAGTTTCATTTGAATGGCACTCTCTATAATGTATAAGTGGAAGTGAGAATATCATGAGTTGTCATTATGTTAGGAATAGAGAGCCTGACGGTTTGTTTATTATGGATTTCAGTCAATAAGAGGATAGGTAGTAGAAAGCTCAATGCATTGATTTCTGGAGCTCTTACTCAGCACGGTAGTGCAAAGAGCAGTGATGGTGGACAAAATATAGTAACCATGGCAACCAATCAGAAATCCTCAGATGATTATAAACTGTGTATAACCATGACTTTTTGCACTGCATTATTGAAAAAGACTGCCAACATTGTGCAAACCACCAAGCCTCGAACCAAAGACTAAAATCACCCTACTCTGCTAGCAGTTCGATTTTAAGCGTATGGACCCAAAGTGGGCAAAATGTAACTACACACAGTACTCATTAGGACACAGCTTGATAGCACTGGGAAGCGAGGTGTCATTCTTGAACCTTTTTTATACACAATAATGCTTTTACTAACAATGAGCAACATGAAGTGTGTGTACCACACCATAAACCACTGTCATCTCAGGCCATGGCCTATGTTGACTATAATACAGCAGTCTCATTAGTGATACTTTAAAGTGAATCTGTGGCAGGGCTATGGACATTTTTTAAAAATTTTTTAAAGTATTAATTGAGCTCTAAAACCAACCCTCACTGACATCTGTAGCTGCAGGCAATATGGGGCAATTCATCCTCAAACATCACAGAAGAAGCACTGAAGTCATTCAAGTTCATCTCTCAGGAACTCAACTCACCCTGCTCCCCTCTTCCAGCAGTGACTAAGCAGCCTTCTACTAATGTAAACAGAAAAGTGAATTACTTCAATACTTCTGCTGTGAAGTTTGAGGATAAATTGCTCTACAGTGCTGTTGGTACAGATTTCAGATGGCTTGTTTTAAAGGAGAACTATGAGGTGAGTGATTTTCACTCAACCTCATAGTTCGAGCCGACCTGTGACAATGAAACTGTCACACGTCGGCTCAAGAGATCGGGAAGTGAGCGAACAAATACCATCGCTCGCTCACTTCTCGATCCTGCCCCTGCAGAGAGCCGTGACTGTCACTCACGGCTCCCTGCAGAGATTCCCCCCTCCCCCCACCGATCCTCCAGCGCTGACTGGAGGAACGAACGGGGGAGGGGGCGGGTACAGCAGGCTCTGCCTCTAGATAGGCAGATCCAGCTGTCAATCACGCAGCTGGGTGGATCTTGACAGTAATATCGGGACCCGTCCCGGCTGCGGGAGCTCGCTGTAGCTCGCGGTGTACTGAGCTTTGGGCCACGGGAGGACGCTAGTTTATGTCCTCCCGTGACCCTGAGGAGAACTATGGGGAAAAACCCTTACCCCATAGTTCTTCTTTAAAGCTTTTTTTCATTTATTTAAATATCCTTAGCTTGGCTAGAGATTCACTTCAAACAATTAAAGTATAAAAAAGCATTACAAGTAAAAAAGAAGACATGATAGATGCACAACTAGGTCTTTATTTCCATGTAATATTCTACAATTCTCTGGAAGCTTATTGTCCTTGCTTCTTATTGACTTGAAATTGTCTTTCACTGCAATATTTTCCATTGCGATCCATTTACATGGCTTGGTATAGGTAAGCTAGCAAAGTAGATGCATATGTCAGTGGTTCTAGCAGTAATTCTATATATATTTACTGAAAATCTGTCAGTCGATATATGTCTGTAATAAAAACATGCAATGGGGGGAATCTATCAAAACTGGAGCAGACCAAATCTGGAGCAGTTGTGCATGGCAACCAATCAGCTTCTCTCTTCAGTTTGATCAGTTAAGATTTGAAAATGAAAGAGAGAAGCTGATTGGTTGCCATGCACAGCTGCTCCAGAATTTGTCAGCTCCAGTTTTGATAAATTCCCCTCTATGTGTTTTGCCTTGGTTTGCCGACTCTGTATTTACTTATGTATTTTTTTTTTCACTTAGGCATTATAGTCCAGAGCTGCCATAAACTCACCATCTTGTTGAGGACCATTACAAGGGAAATATCAACCATGGCATACCTGAGAGTTGGATTTGTTCTTATGGCCTGTGCTCTAGCTTTGGCCTCCTCAAAATTATCAGAAAATGAAACCTGTAAAGCAACTGGGAAAGAAAGGTGTGAGCCAGGTATCTTACTTCCAGTCTGGAGGCCCCACAATCCATCAACAGGAGACAAAGTCGCTCGTGCTGTCGTTTATTTTGTAGCCATGCTTTACCTCTTCCTGGGAGTGTCTATCATTGCTGACCGATTCATGGCATCCATTGAAGTTATTACCTCTCAAGAGAAGGAGATTACTCTTACCAAGCCAAATGGAGAAACCAGTGTGGCCACTGTCCGAATATGGAACGAAACAGTTTCTAATCTAACCCTGATGGCTCTAGGATCCTCTGCTCCCGAAATCCTTCTTTCTGTCATTGAAGTGTGCGGACATAACTTCCAGGCTGGAGAACTAGGACCAGGAACCATTGTGGGTTCTGCTGCCTTTAATATGTTTGTCATAATCGCCATTTGTGTCTATGTCATCCCCAATGGCGAATCAAGAAAGATCAAGCACCCAAGAGTTTTTTTTGTCACTGCCACTTGGAGCATCTTCGCCTACATATGGTTGTATCTCATTCTTGCTGTGATTTCCCCAAGTCGTGTTCAAGTCTGGGAGGGACTGGTCACCCTCTTATTTTTCCCAGCCTGTGTACTCTTTGCCTGGGTTGCAGACAAACGACTTCTTTTCTACAAATATGTTTACAAGAGATACAGAGCAGATAAAAGAAGAGGTATCATTATCGAGACAGAGGGTGAGTTTCCCAAAAGCATTGAAATGGATGGCAAACTGGGTTCTGGTGCAGTGGTGGCACCAGAAATGAAAGACAACGTAGTCCAAGATAGTGAAGCTGCTGCTGCTGAAGCCAAGGAACTCGATGAAAGCCGCAAAGAGGTTATCCGCATTCTAAAAGAACTGAAGCAGAAGTACCCAGAGCGCGAGCTGGATCAGCTGGTTGAAATGGCCAATTATTATGCCTTGTTGCACCAGCAGAAGAGCAGAGCTTTCTATCGTATTCAAGCCACTCGTATGATGATTGGGGCAGGCAACGTGCTGAAGAAACATGCAGCTGACCACAGCAAAAAGCCAGCTAACCTACAGGAGGTGGCTTCTGAAACTGCAGAAGAAAACACAAGCAAGATCTTCTTTCAGCCCTGCAACTACCAGTGTCTGGAGAATTGTGGCTTAGTTACTCTCACTGTTGCCTGCCAAGGAGGAGATGGCACAAGCACTTTCTATGTGGACTACAAGACAGAGGACGGTTCAGCTAATGCTGGCTCAGACTATGAGTATAGTGAAGGAACACTGATTTTTAAACCTGGTGAGACCCAAAAAGAGATCAAAGTCGGTATAATTGATGATGATATCTTTGAGGAAGATGAACATTTCTTTGTACGTCTAATGAACTTGAGTGTCGGAGATGCAGAAGGAATGTTTGAACCAGAGGGGGACGGACGCCCCAAGGCACGTCTGGTCTCACCGCTCATTGCCACTGTTACCATTCTGGATGATGATCATGCTGGAATTTTTACTTTTGAAGAGAAACTGGTTCGTGTCAGTGAAAGTGTTGGGGTGCTGGAGGTACGAGTGCTGAGGAACTCTGGGGCAAGAGGGACTGTGATCATACCATATCGGACACTAGAGGGCACAGCTCGGGGAGGAGGCATTGACTTTGAGGATGCCTATGGAGAACTGGAGTTCCAGAATGACGAAACTGTGTAAGTACCACAATCATTGTATCATTTTGATCTGTCTGTATGCAGAATTCCAGCTCTATTAAGTCTTTATGTCTCAACTGAATTAGTATTTTTAATTTTGGTTTTGAAGATATGAACAACGCAGAGCAAAACAAACCAAGTTTTTCACTTGCAGATTTAAAAATAATACTTTGAGCCAACGTTTAACCTATTCCAGGAAAACAGTTCTATTGTCGCCGATAGTGCAACCATTTAATATTGAGGCCATTTCATGTCTATGCTACCTGCAGGACAGGGGTCACTAAGTCTACTCAAAAAGTCAGCCAGCAGTCTAATTATGCACATCTTCATCATTGAAATAAACTATTTACAACTCTGCTTCAGCCTACTTAAAGCAACCAGAGATGGTAAAGTGCAACTGGTATGTAACAGCGGTAATCTCATGGTATGCAAATTTAATGCCCTGGTCAATATCCTCGACATACTCCCTTCCGTGATGCTTTTCTGGCCAGTGAGGTCACCTGTTACAGTGATAAACCAATAGTGGGGTGCAGGAGGTGGGGAAAGGAGCTTAGGACGGAATTTGCATACCACCAGCCCCGGCGCTAGTACAAGGCAGCACAAGCGGCCGCCTGAGGGCGCTGTTGGCGGGGGGGGCGGAGAAATTGAATCCCTGTCCCGGGAGATAACTGTGTCCGTCCCGTTCTCCCCGCTGCAGCGGTTTCTCCCTACAGGCTGTAATCGGCTGCAGCGATCTGTGTCAGTGGGGACAGACAGCTGATTACAGACTGTAAGGAGAAACCGCTGACAGTCTGTGAGGCTGCAATAAATAAGCTAAAATAAAAAATAAAGTGAAATAAATAAAAAAGTAAAAATGTAAAAAAATAAAGTTAAAGAAATATACAAAAAAAAGTAAAAAAAAAGAAAAAGTTAAATAAACTAAAATGTAAAATCCCCCCTAAAATTAAAGCCCCCAGCCCCTGCGAACACACGCATTTAAAAAAAAAAAAAAAGATGGCAGACGGTATGGATGACGTGACTGGTGGAGCCACGCACAGCCGCACAACTTTAAAAAAAAAAAGCAGCCTCTAGGGAAAAGATCCCTGCGATAAAGGTTGCAATTTTACCATGTTATGCCCTAGCATTGTGGGGTCCAGGCTAGTGCTGGCGCAAGGATGTATAGGCAGCCAACTAAGGGTGGGGGCGCAAAAATCCACCTTAGCCTGTGTAGGCAAAATCCTTGAACCGGCCCTGCATACCACGGTGTCCTGGGATACAGGAGCAAGAAACTTAACAGAAAAACTAACTTGATGAGCAGGAATTAATTACAACCAGTGGCACTTAACCATCTTACTTATGAAGTATGTTTTAAAGAAACCCTATCACAATCGTAAAAAAATTAGCAGTAACAGTGCAGAAAAATCAAGTATTTTAAATGTTTACTTGCAGTGTTTTTCCTTTCAATACAAACAGGGTTATTCACAAACCCTGTTTGTATTGCAGGTTGATGAAAAAGGATCTAATGCAGGTCAGCAGAAGGTCAACTGAAGGTCAATTGAAACCTGCCAATTAATTTTGAATGATCTCAGAAGCATCTCAAATTGATCTCAAATGCAAGATAAATGCACTTAAAAGCAAGCTGCATTTGCCCGTCACCACAAGCGCAATAGAAAACAACAGATGCAGGGAGATGTTGATCTCGGGTCTTATACGGCACAGACTAATTGGTAAGAGTATGTTGTCCCACACAGAGGCTCTATAAAGGCCTGCTCACTCTATATTTTGTGGATCTCAAAAAATTACTTAAAAGAGATCTATGAGGTGAGTAATTTACACTCATCCTCACAGTTAGAGCCGACGTGTGACATTGAAACTGTCACATGTCGGCTCTATAGATCGGGAAGTGAGCAAACACATACTGTCGCTCGCTCATTTCCCGATCATCTCACCGCAGGGATTCCCCCCTCCCCACTCCGATCCTCCAGCGCTGACAGGGGGCAGGCACAGCTGGCTCTCTAGATAGGCGGAGCCAGCTGTCAATCAGCCAGTGGGGTGTATCTCAACTGTATTGTCAGGATCCGTCCCGCCTGCATTGCTCTTAGTATATAACGGGCAATAGCCCGCTACATACTGAGCTTTGGGTCACGGGAGAAGGTTACTATATGTCCTCCCATGACCATAAAGAGAACTATGTGATAAAAAGATTACACCATAGTTCTCTTTTAAAACTCATATTAAGGCAAATTGAGTAGACTTTCTAATTTTTCTCACAAATGAAATATCTCCCAGATTGCATCAGCAGATGGTTGAGTGATTGAAACTAATTGCATGGTATCACTTCCACACACCTCCAGGCAAGCCAAAAAAGCCCATCTTCAAAGAGCTCCATCTAGTGGTTGGCCAAAGTGGCTTCCTAAAGCAAAACTTCCATGCCAAATGGAAGGTCCCTGCCAGCCACTTCTCTCCCCGCAACATAAATGGCTTTAAAAAGGCATTTAAAAACAGATTGTCCAGAAAGAATATACATACCTTAAGCTACCAGAGGTCGGTGCCCCCAGGCTTCTGTGATATAATACAGTCCTTGAGGTGCTATTATTCCCTGTGAGCTAGAAAAAAAGGAATTGTGCCTGTGCAATATTGAATGTTCAGACAGCAGTGAGATGGGGCAGGGGTCAATTATCAAAGAGTGCGTTCTAAAGGGTTGTCTGGTATCACTTAACATTCTGTTACGTGTGAGAGCATCCTCTGGAAGCACTCATCTGAACATGTCCTGGACCTGTAAAATAGCCAATTAATTACTTATACAAGCATAAAGTAAATAAAATGAGTGTGTTATTAAATCAGACATCTAATAGGGCAGATGACAAAAGCCCAAACCACGTTAATATGCCTGCAGGCCACCCGTCACTAAAGCAAAATTTTAAACCATAATTCATTTTTTGCTAAAATGTATTGTTGTGTAGTGTCTGTTTATATGTTAGATGTTCTTCCCATGAAAAATGCAATGTCTCGTCGGGCACCTGTTATCGGTCTTGCTGCTGCCTTTGCGCCCTGCTGCTAATATAATAAGCATCTGTGTGATACTGCTAAGAGGACTTTTGGCGCCAGGGTAACATATTCGATCAGTACTCCTTCGTTCAGAGTAGATCCTATGGTAAGGGCGGCTGTTGGCCGACATCAAACGTGCACACGTGGGAATATCATAAAGGTACATTGAAGAGAAGTAGAGCTTGATAAGGTAATCATTTAGGTTTGCTTTAATCTGAGTTTTAGGAATTATTTTGCAGACTGATTCATAGAGTTTTCAATATGTTAGATGGATGTGTCTGCTTCTCCAAGCCTCTGCTATGGCTGCTATGGAACTTCTATACTCTTCAAAACAGTGCGGGCCTATGGTGAATGTATTTGGGAATGCCTATCCTGCATTACAAATGGGCATGCCAGCAGGACCAGATTTACTCTCTCTGCTGCCCCAAGGCCAGGTTCCTCAATGCGCCCCCCCCCCCCCCTCTCCCCCCCAAACCCCCCGCCATGGAGAATGGCAGAACTACAGGCTGCATACAAGTGATCTCGGCGACATCGCCGAGATCACTTGTAGGAAACAAGCGGCTGCTTCCCTGCGGTACATTTAGATTTGCTTGCCCAAAGCAGGGCTAAATGTAGAAAACAAGTACCCGCCTGGTGCCTGGAACTGCATGTCCTAGGCATCGGGAGATAGGAATTCCACACCCCTACTGCCCCTCTACTCCCTGCTGCCCCGAGGCCGGGCCTTGGTTGGCTTTGTGGGAGATCTGGCCCTGCATGCCAGGTATTCCCAAACTAACACATTACTAACTAAAAGGAGTATAGTGTACTTTGCCATTGTGTGAACAAATAGGGAACCGCTGACCAGGTAGGCTGTACCCTCTATAAGTATCATAAAGCACAACACTGGGCAAAATAAAATTCAAAGAACCCCCAGCAGGGGTGCAAAGCAAAAGAGCTCTTGTACACTACCTCCTTCAATCTTTTGTACAGTGCTGTTCCTTGCAGTAAAACTTTGTGGCATTAGATGTCTTCAGTCTTTTGTGTTGAATGAATCTCAGCATTATTTGACCCGGAAGACTGAGGACCTCCTGTGAGAGCAGGGCGTCATGGACCCGCCCCCTGATGGGGCTGCAGCACAGTGCCCTGCACTCACTTACATACAAAGATAAAGAGAGCAGCATCATCTGGCATCATCACATCAGTCCCATTCTCATCACCATTGAGTGGTGCCCACCATTGGAGTAGTTTCAAAGAGGAAGAGGACCCTGTGTGCCATGTAACCAGCCTAAAAAATCTGAAAAAGGAAGTTTTAAAAAGAGAGACCCACCCATAAATTACAGGGTGGGTCTCTACAAGGGGGCAGTATGGAGGAGCTTGGAGTTGGCCTTCACGTTTTAAATTAACTTTAGTTCCACAAGATAAATAAGTACAGCTTTGATCATAGGTCTGAAAGGATACAACGCTTGCATTAGACATGTGCGATTCGTTTCGTTCTGAATCAAAATTCAGCCGAATTTTCCAAAATTCAGGCATTCGGATACATCCGAATTTCTGAATCCCAATCCATCCCAATGTGTCCGAATCCGAAGCCAGAAAAGTCACGTGCCGTAACGAAATTTGTGTTCAGTATATATATATAATACTAAAGCTGAGGCTCCTAGACCCGATTGGCATTCGGGGTCCGAATTTCCGAATGCAATTCGCTAATTCAGATCCCGAATGCCATTCGGGTCTGGGAGCCTCAGCTTTAGTAATATATGTATATACTGAACACAAATTGGATTAGGATTCGAAAATTTGGAGATCCCGAATGCAATTTGGAAATTCGGAACCCGAATGCCATTCGGGTCTAGGAGCCATATATTACTAAAGCTGAGGCTCCCAGACCCAAATGGCATTCAGGAGCTCCTGAATGCAATTCAGAAATTTGGAATCCGAATGCCATTCAGGTCTGGGAGCCATATACATATATTACTAAAGACGATGCTCCCTGA